TAAAGTTTCCTGTGTCTGAATGTTCCGAAGTGGCGGCTGCTTTTCCATAAAATGAGGGTTTAACTGCAGAGCACAATCTAAATGCAAAATCCTTAGATGGAAATTTAATTGTGTAAAATGTGCACAAGGTAATTAAGAACAAATTTTAGAACATTTCAGACTATAAAGTCCTCCTTCAGCTAGATCGCTAGCGATATTGTAAATGCTTATTTTCAATTTGCAGTTATGCTGAGAAACATGGAATGTGTCTAAATTAAGAATAAAAACATCCCATGCTTTTCAGTATAACTGTAAATTAAAAAACAACTTGCACAACATAGACAATAATCTAAGTGGGAGACTTTATTGCCTGAGTGTCCTAAAAATATGTTTTGAACTTTCTTCCCTCAGTCACTTGCGGAGCAGGATAGGGACCGGGTTGCTATTGTAATTCTTATTCACAATATACAGGCAGGCAAGTAAAGAGCGAGGTAGAGAAAGCGGTTTATTAGAGAGGATTTCTGCGTTTCCATTTTCAGTTCCAAAACTGTTAATTCGATTATTTCAACAAGTCCTTTTAACTTTGTGTTCGCTTATCTGCACGTGAAATGTATGGATTCGAGAACAGGTTAGAGTTGCTTTCCAGCCCTTCTTACGGCTGCTCCGTACAGAGGGTTTAGGCACCTGCCTCTACCGAAACCGGCTGCCTCATGTTTTTTGCTTTCCCTTACGTGTTTTTAGATATAGTTTGATAAAAATCAGCGTACATGCACACTGTATCTCTGCTTGTTATTTAATAATCTGGGATTATTTCTCAGTTTATCAAGTACTGGTTTACAATCTGATGGCGAACCCCGTACATCCGTCTGCACCTCCGTCCGAGTCGGGGGGAAGGCTCCTGTCGGGTACTTGCACTTGGAAGTGCACATCATTTTTCAGGACACAGCCTCTCTGAACACCGTAAGATGAGCATGTTAAGTGCTCTGACTAAGACAGTAATAGTTTAAAAACAAACTCCAAAAAAACCCTACACAGACATGCAGTTGCTCTAAAGTACAGTGGTGTAGGAAAGTGTTATTCTGATATATTTCTTGCTGATATGGTCTGATTCTCATTTATATTTCCAGACCATGCTGGCATTGCAAGTCACTGGGCCTTTTAAAAACGATGGTTTTTACAGTTCTTGTTTAGTGGGAAGGTATCCATAGGGAAATGAGAACCAGCTCCTTGAAGTTTAATCATTCCCTTCTCCCCTCCTTAATATCCAGAGCTACATAAAATACTGATCAGTTCCCAAATCCAACTGGTGTGAAAGGAAACATTGCATTTTTGTTATAATGCCTTAAAAACAAAATTGCAAGTTCCTGAATTTCATTGTCTAAATGCAGAAGAGATAAGTTTTTGATAGCATGTTAGTTTGGTAGTTTACTTTTTTTTTGTTATCCCACATTGGGCTTGTGCTGCATATGTTTATAAGACTTCCTTGAGACAGATGATAGAGAGCATGAAAATTCCTTTAGTGAAGCTCTAATCTGATTGTTTTTTGGGTTTTTTTTCTTTACTTTAACTGTGACGCTATTTATAAAACTAAATCTACATACAGAGGTCATTGGTTGGCTGAACTTAAACCATTTTACTTAGTAAATTTAATTAAGAAAATACAGTGCAACTCATAAGCAAATGAGTTTTTCCTAGTTTTAAACCAAACCACCCTCTTGAGTGCTGATTGCCTTGCTCGACCCCTGGTGATATAGAAACAGGCAAAATTAAAAAGGACATTAAAGCTTCATTAAATCTGAAACACATTTAGTACAGTGACATATCTGCAGGCTATTTCAGGGAAGATTACATACTCTTTGGTAAGTTTCTTAATTTATAATACCTTGACAATCTTGCAGGGAGGAAACAACTCTGACTAGATGAATCGAGTGATGGTTCGGGGGGGTGCAGAACTGGCAGATGATCCCATCCATGGCTGTATCGCTTTGCAGTTCTCAGTCAAGGAGCAGCTTCACTGAGAAGCGTGTTTCTTTTTTAACAGCCCCCAAAGAACTTGTTCCTGATGCATTTTGGATTCTTCGAAGCTCATTTATATACCCCGTACTTAACGTCTGGCAGAAAACTGCTCTTTCCCCAATTATTCTGCTGCCTTTGGAGCCCCTGCTGAGGCGTGTGGTGGTCAGGGAGAGGAATCACCAGTGAGAACAGAAACGCTTAGTTTGAAGTCATCATCGAGGCAGTGGTCGTTTTTCTGCTTAAATAAGATCTGCAGAATGGTGCCCTGTGCATATAGCCACAGTTATGTTCTTGTTCTGCAGTGGGATAACTATTACATTCCGCCAAGCCTGTAGCTATTGTAATGACTATTCTTAAGTCAGTAGTCATAGGAAAAATCAGGATTTCTTCTGTTCATGGAAAAGTATTTGGCATTTATAGGTTTGTTTCGAGGCTGTCACAGCAGTGCTGTGCTTCTTAGGATCTCGAGCAGCTTCTTGGAAGTTAAGGATGGTCCTCCCAAAAGAAGAGAAGATGAAAAAGGGTATGTTTTAGTAGCTCCTGGTCCTTAAGACTGAGCATAACAGCAAACGTAGGGTCTTTGCTTGACTATTTAGCAGTGTATTTCAAAGCCTGCCATCAGAGAGTGACTGGAGTGACACTCTTGAGCTGGGAGAAGCTGTGAACCAGACACAAGTGATAGAAAGGATGGCGATCAAGCCTGCTTAGCTCAGGTTGGTTTGTTACGAGGATGAATTCGCTGCAAAGAGAAGCACTGCGCTCAGCACTGCACCAGAAACAAAACTGAAAGGCGGAATTCACCCCAAAGAGTTGAGTCTTAAAGGCAAACCTGGAAGACAAAGCACAGAAGAAACCCAGAGGAGGAAGCTAGCTTAAATTGTATCACTTTGGAGAACCTGAAGAGATCTTACTTGTCTTGTCACCTGAATGTTGTTCCCTATTCCAGTGTCTCTTGTAAGCCTCATTTCTTCTACCTTCTGTAGGTGTTGGTCTTGCAAACCAAGCAAACACGGCGATGCCCAAATGGAGGGCTACAAGCAGATCACAGCTTTCGGAGAGACGAGTGGCACAAGAGAAATGTCTCAGAAAAGCTGCGTATGTTATTGCTAGTAGGATCCTTGGTCAACACCAATGCTGATGTAGCAGACCATAATGGCTTCTCCTCAGTCATTATGCAAGCTTCCACTGAGGAGGTATTTAGGAAAGTTTGGGGTGATTTTTCAGTGATGCATGGAAATTCAGATATGCAGTTCCTGTAACTGTGACGTGTCTGTGCAGTAAGCAAGCATTCAGACATATTGTACAAACCGAACAGCCCCTTTAGAACCCACTTGATGTGTCTGTAGATTTTCAGGACAAATACTATCTCAATATTGAAAAAGCTCTTTTAAGAGTAGTCACCAAAAAAATTGTTTCATCTCTTTGGGTTTCTCTTGCATGCCTCTCTTACACAAATGCTTCAAGACCTGCTCTGCTTTTGTAACGTCTTTCCTCTGAGGATCTGAAAGAAGTTTACTGTACTTGCTAAGGCTCACAGCCAAATGGCTAGTGTGATCCTAGGTTTGGACAGCAGCTGGAATTGCAGAAAGGGCACCATCTCTGCTGTTTTCTGGTTGCTTCCACTCGCGCTGTCAGCTGCTTCTTACTGCCTTCTCATGACCTTTTTCCTGAACTGGTGAGGCTCGAGTGTGTCTACTGGTCTTTGCCCCATCGGTTCCTCACCTGGCTACAGCTCTGTCTATGCCTTATTGTTCACACTTAGGCTAGTTTTGTGCTGCCAGCCAGGCTGAAATGTCATCAGAGGTTAGCAGAGCTGCCTCAGCTGCAATCTGGCTAGGTCACGTAGCCACGGCACCGAGGAGCTCCAATATCAGTGGCCATACAGGTGCCGTGAAACAGCTTTTGCCCAGCACTGACGTGTGGTTTGGCCTTTGCAGTACATGAGACGATGGCTTAGACCTTCAGCATTGACGCTGTTACTTAGTCTGAGGTGAATATACCTAGTTTATCATGCAGACAAATCAATGATAGTAGTGCATCTATAACCTTTTTGGTAGACCTCCAAACAGGGGGAGGATTGGTAAGGGGAGGATTCGGGAAGGTTAACTAGAGTGTGTTTTTCCTCCGTAAGCCGTGGAGAGAGGTGGGCTTAGCCAGAAAGCGGGTCAGAACAGAGCTGCTCGGAATGGAGGAGTCTGTGTCAACTCTGAAAACCTTCACCGAATTGTAGGCAAAATAACTTAAACGAGTTGTATTTTGCTGAAATTGTTTCCAAGGTTCAGATACCAAATGGGAAAAGCTAAAGTCTCATACGAAGAATTTATCATGGAATATTTATTAGCTATGGCATTATGGCAACAGTAGTATCATTGCTGGGTCTAATACTGATACTAGCAGAATACTCTAGCAATGCATCAGTTGACTTACAGAACAGTGCGGGCGACAGATCTAGTTGACACCATGTGCAATTGAAAGTAGATCTGAAGAAAAGACGAGGTGGCTTTGTGCGGGTGCCATGAGCTCTTCCCAGATCCCACTCACAGGTTCCTGGCAGGGTTTGACACGGATAAGGAAGCAAACCTCGGCCACATAACCCAGATTTTACTCTGAGCCAGTTAAGGAAGGACTTTGGGAGTTGAGTGCATGCTCTGCAATACCTGTTCATTGCAGATAATTATCAGTAAAGGTCAGTGTCGTTGGCCTCGCTATTGAGGCTGAACTGGTTTAATTTAGAGAGTCCTCAGGAACCTGGGCATCAAACAGTGTTACTGAGTGGGGCAGACAAAAGAGCTTGAGAAACACAGAAATATTCAGCAAGGTAGAACAAGGGGTAATTGTTGTGAATGACTCCATTCTAAATACAGCTCTTTGTGTGTTTTCAGAATTACTTTTGCTGACATTTTCCAATTTATACAATAGTAAGAGTTGAGTACTTTTCTCTCTTTAAGAAAATGTGCCCTCCATGCAAATCTATATAACTAGACAAATATTATTTCCTTTCCCAGCTTGCTCTTGGGAGGTTTCCATATCCTCAGGTAAGATTGTTCATTACTGCTGTTTGCCACTGTGACATTCATTCCTATGTATGAAGGTGCAGAGAGCAATTGTGAACATTTGAGCCACATACAAATAAATCTGTCCTGTTAAATTGAAAAGTGGTATCTTGAAGGAGTCATTTAGAAGTCTCTATTGATTTTTTTTTTTTTTTCTCTTTTTCTCTTCTCCAAACTCTAGATTTTCTTTCCCTGGAGACAATGAAAATTATGATGATGATAATGATTGTTTTGTTGTGAGATTAAAAAATAATCCAGTATGTACAACAGTGCTTTTGAAGCAGGAAGGTGTATCTACTCCTTTTTTATACTTTAATTTTTAATTCCAATGTTGAATAATGGAACAATGGTCTAAAACCTTCTCAAATCAAAAATACAATGTGAATGGAATACTTAAGGGAGCTCTGGATTCTCCCTTTTAAGAGGACCTAATATTAGTATCTTATTTAGATACTGGCATTTTCTAACTTTCCACCGACCTAACTCCGTTTCCTTGAAGTTGGTGGTAAAACTATTTCCACCTTCAGTGGCAATGGTTAGGCGAATGCTGAGCCCTGCATTACCGCCTAATATTTTACTTTGTCTGTATGCTTGAAAAAAACGAAGCTCTGAACAAAACAACCAATCCAGAAATAGGTTTGATGATTACTTTAAATTCTTATTGCAAGATGGATGTTAGAATTCATAGTAACAAACTATTCTGGAGTTCCTCAAATTATTCTTTAATGGGAGAGGGGAAAAAGTGAAGTGTCCGGGGACTAAAATGAATTATTTGAATGTGGTTTTTATGTTTTCGTATGTTTTATGCACACTATTTTCTGCATCTTGGTCTATACAGATCAGAGTGCCTGGAGGCATGTCTGATTTAAAGGTGGTGTTGGTCTGTGCTCTTTAAGCATCTATTAACTTGCTATTATTATGCAAATAACTGTTGTAATACACATACTAATTTATGCATGGTTAGATTATGCAGATGCCTCACAAACATGGTTATTGAATAATAGGCTGGGACTCATTCTCTCTCCCATTTTTATAAGCTGTTTTAAGCAAATTCTCCTGACACTTTTATGGACTTGCAAAGGTTTTGCATATGTAGAAATATACTGACTTTTCACTTGCTCATCTCCTATGGAAAACGTTTACTGACTGAGAGAGCTGTAGCTGGTTAGCGGAACACACTTTGCACATTTTATCCGTATTTTAAAAGGTACCCTCTCCTTTGAAGGGAGGATTGAAAAAGAAGCTCTTGTGTTGAAGTGTCCTCCGTACGTTGGCGTACTCACTTGTGCTGGTTGAGTGTCTTGATGTTCGCTGTAGATGGTGTATTATAACACTAAATCAAAGTGACGTGGGATACAATTTAAGATAACCCTCCGTTCGCAGAAGTGTTGGAGCTTGGGGAAAGAAGTTAGAGCGCATACATTATGTATGATTCGAGACAGAAATTTGCTTTCTGAATTGGGAGCAAAACACGATTGCTAGTTTAAGATCTTTTTTGCTATTCTAATTAAAAAACGGATCGGGTTTGTAAAAGAATATTTGGCAAGTCAGTAGTCCATGAAATTGTATATATTTTTTAATGTAAAACAGTTGAGGAGGTGAAACTTTAAAATGTAGCTATTAAGCTTTTCATGCAACTGCTTTTCATAAGGATTTTTATGTGAAGAATATGTATTTTAGATATGTACTTACATAGCTGGCCACAAGAACCCTTAGAAACCCGCTCTAATTAGGGGGATAATTAGTAGGGGGTTTTTTAATGTCTAAATATCTCTTTATCTCCCTACGTAAGGGCCCGATTCTGCAGTCATTCACTTCAGTAAATCCTCCTCACTTCAGTGGGCTTATTCAAATGATTGAAGCTAATCGTATGTGTGTTTGCAGAATTTGTCCCTAAATAACTTGAAGTTACTTCTCTCTGAAAATGGAAAGTATGAATACATGTTTGAGAACACCTGAAATTTTCTGCAAATGAATGTTTGTCTCCAGCTGTAGCTGGAGGGAAAAAAAAAGGTTTTTTTCCTTTTTCTCTATTTTTAAGACACAGACAAATGGTGTGTGTAAATTCAGTTTAAATGAATAAGATTTATAGAGGGAATGATTGCAGTATGGAAGTTCAGGACGCCTGCAACATACCAGTAAGACTGAAGGATGATTTTTTTTTCCTGGCCTTTAATAGAATATTTTAATGATAGAACTTACCACTTCTCATTTTCCACATGTTCTATAAGTATTTATTTTGCTAACGCTTATTTGTCAAACTATCATTATTTAATCTTATGTTCACAATAGAGTCTTATCTTGAAAGCACTTAAGTGTGCGAGCAGCTACTTGTGTAAGTAAAGTTGCTTATGGGTGTGTTTAGAGTTATTGTAAATTTTTTTTGTCTTGATATGGAGCTAACTTCATAATCTGTAGCTAACTGCCAAAGGCAGTGATCTGAAGAAGGAGATAACAAACAGTAAAGAGCAGGCTTCCACCATAAAAACTTTGCACAGGAAACTCTCATCCTTAAAATGTGATAAATTTCTAAAATGGCTATGGTTTCCATTTTTTGTTGCTCGTTTTCCTGGCGTGGCATTGCAACGTGCTGTTGCTGGCTTGCTGTAATGTCAGATTCCTTTTGGAAGTCTCAGGGTATGACGCTCATAGGATTTTCTGTAGATACAAAGGCAAGCACTTAAGGGTATATTCTTCCCCTGATGTGCTTGCATAACTCTATTAAAACTAATAGGAATGGTGCACGCGCTCACACATGCACAAAAAATACTCTTTTGAATAAAGTTCTTTCCTACGTAAACATTTAAAAACGAAAGGAGACGCCTTTCACTCAACGCAGTCACTAGTCCGTAGTCCGTCCGGCTTTTTAGGTACGTGAAGAAGGCACGTAGGGAAAATAAGTTTCAAATTTCTTTTAAAAGTTTAACCTTAATTTATGTGATTTTGATGTTAGGTGTCTGTGCAGAACGAACTGTAAAAAAAAAAAAAAAAAAAGCCATGGCACCTCACAGTATATTTAATTAAATTTAAAGTTGGAACCCGAAAGACGTGCAGCGGCTGAACAAACCGCGAGATGTACCGTTAATCACGTAGATTCAAATTCAGTATATTGTATAAAAACACGATGGGGGCGATGACTTGTTTAATGATAATGCGATTTAGGAGAAATGAAAAGAATTGCCCACTAAATATTCTCGGCTTGTAGTCAAACTTTATACAAAGCAGGATGTTAAAAGGACGCCGCATCCATTAGGGAAATATTCCACAGAAATAGGCAGTACTCAGCTGCCGAGGATTTAATCAGCTACAGGAAAGTGCGGATTACGACGACTGTATTTAAGATACTTTTGCATTTAGAGAAATGTTTTCCTTCCTTTGGCTACAATTCCAGGCCTCACTTAATAAATTATATGAAATTTTTTTTCTTTTTTTCTTTTTTTCTTTTTTTTTTTAAATTCAGACTCCCCGCTGCTACAGCGATTTTCATCTTGTTGTTAATTTTCCCTGCTCCATATGGAGCTCCAGACATTTCACCTGGAGGCTGTACTAGATTTTGCTGTAGCGATCGCACTTCCGGAGGCCAAAACTGTCATTTAAGGTTCCTGGTGCATCTGTCTACGCCAGGCTTTTCACTGGCACCGGGAGAGTGTGAATAACAAATTGGATGCACCTGAGATTCAGATGATTAGTGTGTTTTGTGAATCTGGGCGACTTGTAAGCAGCTAGCTGTAGGGATGGGGAGGGCTAAACAGCTACCCTGGGTGAATCCGTGCTCACACCTTGCGTTTGGGGTGTGCGGGGAAAGCGCGAGCATCCCGGCAGCCTGAACGCGGAGAGTAACAAATATTTCATCCTGCCTTGTCATTGATTAGAAAAGAGCCTTTAATTTCATTTCACCCCATGTTGTGATTAATTTGCATTCTTTGTCAGAAGTTAATGGAGTTTTTTATGGTTCACTCTGAAATCCTTGAAGACATCAGAGTTGATCTGATGTTTATACAACCGCCAGCGGAATTTTTTCATTTGATTGATGGAGAGCTTGATGTTATTCCAAACGGCTTTTTAAGCTGTTTTTAAGAATTATTTGAATAAAATGCAAGCAAGATATTGTTATAACGATCAAGATTATCTGTTAAAAATCTGTTTCAAATAAAGAACATGATAAGTAGAAAAAAAGATCAAAAAGACAGGAGAAATGATGAATACAGAAGATGATATTTTTTAAAATATAGAATCCAGGGATTCAAATAAGTTATTTCAAAATGTGGTGGAAGTAAGAGACACCTTAATTTAAGGCACGTTTTTTTTTTTTAATAGAAAGACTTTATTTTTGCAGCATGATAAACAATGGGAATGAATTGGTAAAGAATTTAGTTATAGTTAGATTTTCCCCTTCCTTTTTATTCTCCCAGCTTTTTCACCATCATTTCACCAGCTCTGCGAGCACAGAGCCCTGGTGCCTCTAACTCGGAGAGACAAGGCTGTCAGGCCTGTTAGTTCAACAAAATGATGACATATTACTCGTCTCAAGGAAGAGGCATTCTTAAATCCCACTGCAAAGAAAACATAAGTGGATAATAGGAAATTTTATAGCCCAAGAAAGCGTTCGCTATAGACCTGCCATTGGTTTGCTTTATAAGAAAATATACAGGCAAAAAATCCTCGGTGAAAGAAATCTGCTTTTTGCTCC